GTTGATGGATGGATGGATGGATGGATGGACGCACACATGGAAGGAGGGATGGATGGATGGATGGATGATTGAATGACACATTCACATTATGGCAGAATTAAACCAAGTATTCTTATGGAGGATGGACCATAAAATGCATATTCAAAGTTAATCAAAGAATTAAAAACAAGGTTAAATGTATAAATGCACCTTAACAAGAACCCTGCCAGCAATGGTCAAATCCCTGTCAAACCATGTCCCCCATATACCTCCACCATAACACTCTACACCAACTTGTTGATATCCATGTTTTGTCAGCTTGGACACTGGCTTTGCCTTTATTGACAGAAAGTGTAATAAAAATCAAAAATAAATCATGCATAATCTTCTTGTCACAGTAAAATGTCAAATTTCAGTCCTCAAAATAATAGCCAGCTAGACCATGGACAGTGTCCAGACAAAAGTGACACTACAATCAGCGTCAAAACTAGTTGATACTCATACTATTAAAACTTCCTGTTTCCATCCAGATACAACGCAATAATTGTAGTCCGTAGGATTGTAGTCTGGCCAATTGACTCTTAGGCCGTTAGACCAGTCTTCTTGACCCCTCACTCTGACTGGTCACATGCTAATGAGCCCAATAGACCTATCCCGAATTCGCTTGACTGACCACGAAACAATGGTTTGAAGTCGAGACTGAACTTGATTCTTTTATTCATCAAGTTCAACCTCGACTTGAAACCATTGTTTTGTGACCAGTCAAGCGAATTCGGGATAGGTCTATTTGGCCAACCAAAAACGATATTTGGCACAGCTATTAATTTCTTATAAAACATTTTCCATTATGTACTTTATTTCATCACCATTACCAGTGTTTACAACAAATCCTTGTACACTTATTAAGAATTAAATAAAACTTCCTAAAAATACCTAAAGTGCCCAATATGTTGGTCTGGAAGACTTGGAAAATATTATTGGAACAAACAATAAAATTCTAGTTATTAGTATTTATGGGACATTATTAATAGCATTCATGGGACATTACTAATAGTATTCATGGGACATTACTAATAGTATTCATGGGACATTACTAATAGTATTTATGGGACATTACTAATAGCATTCATGGGACATTACTAATAGTATTCATGGGACATTGGAAGAGATGGAATTACTGGCAAGGAATAGGGAGAGGTTGAAGTCCTTGGTGTCAGCCCTACCTGTCACACAGGCATAAAGGGTACTGATGATAATGATGGGACATTACTATAAAAGTCAGTAGCACTAATTACTCTATTCATATTTCCCCCACTTTTTTCCTCTTTATCTATTGTTTCCTAAAGTATGGTCCTTGTATACGTATGTCCCCTCCTTTTTTCCTTTACTCTCTCATTGTCTCCAAATCAGCATCTCCTATCCTAATCTTCAACTCCACCTTTTTTTCTCTAATTATCGTTCTTTCATTCTTTTTTCTCCTATTTCCCACTTGTCCTCCTCTTCAGCCCTTCCCCCCTCCCCCCTTCCCAATACCCAAGGCTAAGAACAATGGCTGCTCAATGGCTGGACAAGATAACTGGCCACATTGGGCTGAAAAGCAACCGACCTCTAAAATAAAGCACTCCCTCTATTTATCGGCCACTTGACAATTCTTTGAGGGTGGCTGCTTAACAATGGAGGTTTTATTGTACATATATATGAATCATAAATACTGTACCTTAAAGCATGGGCTATCAGTGTGCGCTCCTACAATGGTAAATCCATTACCAGGTTTATACTGACCACCAACAGCAAAAGCAATAATCGTTGATTGGTTCCTGGTGACAAAGTACTTTTGTAGAGGCTTCAAATCCCAGTGATCTTTCTCCACCAGCTCTTGAAATCCTGCTGCTATGAGCCTTTTCTTGCATTCACCCACCACTAGAAAGTGAAGGTCATTATATATCAAATAAAGGCTCATTTTTCGTTATTCATGGGAAGCACAAGTGACATAGCTATGAGAGCCCTTGTCTATCATCAATGCAACCTGGGTTTGAGTCTCACTGGGCATGGTGTTGTATGTGAGTAGATCGTGCTGTTTGTTGATTCTCTCATGTGTTTCAAAGGTTATTCTCCTGGTCCTCCGATTTTCCTCACTCCACAAAAATGACTCCTAGATTCCAATTCGATCATGGAATGAGGGCCACAGGTTTGTTAGCCACTGGCTATTACATAGTCAAACTAAGATAACCGTGAACACCTAAATGGAATGTTGGAATGTTGAACATTTTGTTCTATGATCACATCATTGTGATAGTTAATTAGAAATGAATTGTTCTTCATTATTAGGGATGGATCATTAGATAGTTGATGGGGGCGGTTGCGTAAATCCCCAAAAAAATAGAGCAAGCACTTATACCTCAAAAAAAATATTGTGCAACCTCTTCTGCTAGAAGAAAAAATATCTAGAACTGTACGCAAAAAAATAACGTGCAACCATGCAACCAAAATTCCTGCAACCCCCTTCCCCCATCAATTATCTAATGGTCCATCCCTTAAGGGCTTCAAGCTTAGCAGTAGTTAAATAGTCAAGTACTTGTTAGTGATTCTTTGTTTTGGTTAGTGAAATTAATCGCTGAAAGCGATGTGGATATCAGTGAATATTTACCAAACCCTAAGTCTTTGAGGGACAAGGTAAATATTTRCAATATTCACAAAAGTAATAATGAGATAATGATCTAGTAGCTTATGCAACTTACCATGAAATGGTGATGGGCCCCCATTAACAAACTCCAGGAACTTTTTTGCTGCAACTTGCATGGATTCTTGAATAATTTTCTGTTAAAAAAACATCGATTATAAATTCTGTGCTACAAAAATGTAAATGGATATCTTTTGCTAAACACTGGAAAGCAAGAGAAGATTGTGTAGTTCCAGAAATCATCCATACCCACCCCACAGAGGAATTTGGAATTTCGGAAGAGTAGGGGGGCCAGGGAGGTACTCCCTTTGTTCAGATGGTAGAGGTGATTGGCAGTTGATTTTTAAAATGGCCCCTAAAAGGTACGCATAAATTAAAAAGACTCTTAAAGGTACAGCTGTATTTCAGTAATTTACTATTAACCCCGGCTATCAACGCCGGTTATAACGATGATCATATTAAATAAATATTTAGTGCATCATTGTAAAGTCGACAGCAGCATAGCATGGATAACGCGCATAATAAATGACCCCAAAAGGTAGTTATGTTATGGAGTTATGTTGTGTAATTGACTTTTGAGCTGGAACCCCTAAAAGGTCCACACAGGGAACATTTTCAACCCTAAAACGAGTGCCGATCACCCCTACCACCTGAACAAAGGGAGTACCCCCCCCCCCAGGGTAGGGGGATCAGACAAAGAACAAAATTACAGAGTTTGTGTGGAAGAAAATTGGAATTTCCGGGGGGTAGGGGGGTGTCTTAAAAATTCCTCCGTGAGGGGGGTATGGATAATTTTTGGAACTACACATTATGACCATGTAATGCAAAACTGCACAGAAAAAAAGTATTAAAAAGACCAACACTCAAGATGTCTGACGTATCAATGCTTAAAATGGCTAAAAATATCAAGTATTTATTTGTATAACAAATATTGCACAACATCAAGTACCATTTGGAATTTATAGGTACGAGTGATGTTTTGAAAGTTTTTAAAATTGAGAACTTGAATTTGAGAACTTTCAAAACATCATGAACATCTATAAATTCCAAATTGTACGAGAAATTAAGATTGTTTGATTTTTTGTTTTATAATAAGCTTAACAAAATTGAGCAAATTAATTGGAACCCTACAGAGTACAATTTGGAATTTAATTGCACTCCTCTTGTCCAATCAGAATCGAGTAATTTTGTTGAGTGTATTACAATTGATGAAAGCTAGTTCTTTATTGGCTTAATAGGAGGGTCATGAATTACTTACTTTCTTACTGAGTGAAAGTGCGGGAGATCCCCCAGCCCCCCCCCCCCCCCCACAAGAATATAAAAACCCAGTGTGTCATAGGTTTCTGAGTGGGACATATTTTATTATAGTCTCAGAAAATAAATATGGTCTTCTCAGATACAAATCCAACTAAGAACTGAACATTATTGAAAAAAGACTAAGCAAAAGTACTATAAATTTGAATACGAAACAAAGAAACTAAGAAACCAAGGCAACAAAACTAGAAGCGTGACCRGAACGAAAACTTTAACAAAGATTAAGAATATATAATTGAAATTTCTTCGTGCAGCACTCACTACTGGCTGAGAACCTGTGAAAATCCTGTGAAAAAACCTGTGAATTTTACACGGCCAATTTCATGTCGATTCTTGGAAAAATCTTAATTTTTGAAACCTGTGAAAAACCTGTGAACATTTTAATCCTGTGTGGGAAAAACCTGTGAATTTTATTTTTTGTGGAGAAACCTGTGAAAAACCTGTGAATTTGGGCATGATAAAAACGCGTTGGAACAGAAACCTGTGAAAAACCTGTGAATTTCGGCATGACAAAAACTCATTGAAACAGAAACCTGTGAAAAACCTGTAAAATTTCAGCATGATAAAAACTCATTGAAACAGAAACCTGTGAAAAACCTGTGAATTTCGGATGATAAAAAGTAATTCAAATAGAAACCAGTGAAAAATCTGTGAAAACAGCTGACATGCCTTTATATAATTCTAATTTTCCTCAAAGTATTTTGAAGGCATATSATCATACTAATCAACAGCTACAGTAAATTTAACATGACATTACAAAAGTTTCTTTATAAAAAATCCTAAAAAGATATCGCATAGGATCCATGATCCTTCTTACAATTCTACTTAAGGATAACAGTAGTATTTTCCACAGAGTGGCTCTTCATCCACTGAATTCCAATTGGAATTTAAAAGTTGATTTTTGCAGAGGGAGGAAAACCAGTAAACCCAGAAAAACCTACAAATAACCAACAAGCAACTCTACTCACTAAACAACGCCACAAGCCCTGCAGAACTCTAACCCAGGTCACATTGGTGGGAGGTGAGCACTCTCACTGCTATGCCACCTGTTATTATTTAAACTATTATTTACTGAGTTCCTGCATATATTATTGCTTATGGAAATGCTTACCTACATGCTTGTTGTTATTAAAAACACCTTTAATTTAGTTAATTGGATGTAAACACATAAAACAGCAGTGCTCTAATATTAAATGTGGCCTGGATCAGCCCAGATATTTGGATATTGGTATAAAAAATACCGTAAGGATTATCAGTAATTGATATATGGAAATTTTGGCTGATTATACTGATAAAAAAAAAGATAAAGACTTTGTTGTCTCCATCCAGTGTTAATATTTCATGATGGACTGAATTGAACATCAAATGGAATATATAATTTAAATACAATTTTGACTTTTTAAAACCTACAGGGGTAATAACACTCTGCAGATATGGGGTGGGTTAATGCTTCAATTCCAACAATGCTGCTTATATATCCCAATGATTTCTGGGTTTGCAATATTGATAAAGCATTTATTATAGCAATAGAGGATATTACATGGGCACGCGGAGATACGAAATTTACGCTGCGCTCACTATAGTGAGAGATTTTCAACACGAGAAGATAAATTTCGTATCTCCAAGCGCCCATGTAGTATTCTGTTTATTATATAATTATCCATAAAATCAACTTATTATAAAAATTATTATAAAAAGTTTTTATTTATAAACAATAGCTTAAATACACATGGAAACGATATTTTCACATGTGAAAAGGAGAAAAATAGGTATTTTATGGATAATTATATGATAAAATAAATAATGATAATACATTTTTATAAAATTGAATAAATTAACTGAAGAATGCACGGCATTTATCAGATGGTGCGCTCTGCCAGAAACTTATTCTCCTGTTCCTGAAATCCTCAAAGTGAAATCTAATGCTCAAACATTTCGTATTTGTTTTGTTATTATTTTTGATTATAATGTGGTTAGCTGATGTCTTGCTGCTTCAGTGTCGAAAAATAGTTTTTGAAATGAGAACTTTTAAAACTTTTACTAGTAAAGTTTCTTTCGGATAAAGCGTTGATAATTTTTTAAATTTTAGAAAACGGGCATTACTCATTCAAAGTTTAACTATAAGATTAAATCAATGCCTTATTTTGGCTGACTTTTTGATTTTTCCCCTTCTTTTGCAAGAAAAAAAACAACCACAACCCTCACCGCCATTTTGAATATGCGGGCTCGCTTCATTAGTCAGCGGACTTTTTCTTGGTCACATGACGAAAACACGATCATTAATTGGCTGTTGGCATTAGAAAGCAAAAAGGCGGGAATTAAAAGCTTTTTCGCTCATTTTTGCAAGAAACCTTCCTTGGTTGTTTTGTAATGAAGAAAAAACTATTTGTTATAATGTAAAAAAGCCTTCATTAGCTTTTAAAACAAAAAATATTAATTTTTTGAGATGAAAGCAAATATGTTTACTCAAAATGATGCCTCTGCTGAAGTAAAAACGAAGACATCAAACAAAAAACCTGGAGTATATTGCCAAGTATATTGTATTCAAGCAAGCAGTATTATTCAGTGGAGGTAGGTAGTTTAAAATTTAAAAGCTATTTGAATATTGAGTTCTTTAGATATATGCTGTTATGATTTACAAGTTTGCAGCATTTGAATCTGAACTATAGCATTTTCCTCTTTTTACAGCCTCAAAACGCTGATGAAAAGTCACCACAAAACTTAAAAACTACAGACTGTGCTTCCCCTTTTTGCTGGTTAGCTCTGGTTTAGCGTATAAAAGAGCTGGATCTTAGATAATGACTAACTTATGAGCTCTGGTCTATAATGGCTCTTGCCAACTGGTCAGTAAAAATAATTCTTATCATGGCAAAAAAAGAGGATAAGCTTAATATCTAGTTATAGGTAAATAACCATTTCTAGAATGCATGCATTGTTTTCAGGCTTTAGTTATTGAAGGATTTCAAAAGAAATTTATCAAAAGAATGACAATAAAAAAAGTTGAAAAGTTGAACTTCATTTTTTTAGATCATGGTCAATGTCAGACTTGAGATCATAACTCAGTATTAAAATTGCAAAACCCCAGTATAGCGACCTCTTTGTAGCTTGGAATCAAATTTTGCTATCGTATAGCACTTGACATATAAGTTAGATAATATAATGATTTAGAAATTGTGAATGCATAACTAATATGCATAACTGAAAGAGATGGGAAAACAGAAAGCCTTTTTTTGTAAATTAACAATAAAAATTTAGTATTACTACATGTAGGTGCCATTTATACATATTCCACAGTGATTTGCTGCTTCTGATTAATGAGCTCTGACTTAATGTTTTTGAAGTAGGATTTTACAGATTTTCTCAAAACTTGCAACGTAAGACAGGTTTTTCACAGATTTTAAGTGTCCATATTCACAGTATAATAGGTTTTTTTTCCTTATTAAAAAAACCTGTGAATATAATTTTCACAGGGTATTTTTGTAGAGGTTTTCTAACTAGAACATTTTTGCAAAAAACCAGTGAAAATAATATTTACGGGTTTTTCACAGCATTTTGAACCTGTGAAAGTGTCCCTTTTCACAGGTTTTTGACAAATTCAAACCTGTGGGAAAAAACCTGTGAAAAAACCTGTGAATTCTTTTCACAGGTTTTGAAACCTGTGAAAGTGTACGTTTTCACAGGTTTTTAAGGTAGTGAAAACCTGTGAATTTACAGGTTTTTCACAGGTTAAATTTTCACAGGTTTTTCAGGTAGTGAAAACCTGTGAATTTACAGGTTTTTCACAGCTTAAATTTTCACAGGTTTTTCACAGAATTTTCACAGGTTCTGGAACCTGTGAAAGTGTCCTTTTCACAGGTCTGGATGTTTGAAAATCCTGTGAAAATCCTGTGAAAAACCTGTGAAATTTCTAAAATACAGAGATATTTTTCACAGGTTTTTCACAGGATTTTCACATGTTCTCAGCCAGTAGTGACTAACAAAGCTAAGATTTTGAAATCTTTATAAAGGACCAAAAGAATACAAGAGCATGGCACGAATAAGGAAACTAAATGCTCATTAATTATTCATGATATTTTGAAGTCGTTAAATAAACTGACAGATCATGTCTCACCAGGTTTAAAGTGTTTGATCAGGTTTAAAACCATGAGGCTATGCCTCGTGGTTTTAAATCTGAACAAACAGTCCTGCTCATTTATTAAACTATACATAATATATGCTATTGTAGGACATGACTACTAGCCAAATAAATTTGCATATYGCATTTGAATAGAATTCCCTGTACACGTATTTACTTCAGCTTGCGTGCATGAGAACTCTAATTTCACTTCCAAATTATAACCTACCTTTTTACAATAAAGCTTTCACATTTAGCAAGCACTTTTTAAACAGTTTAAACTATCTGCCTGGCTGTAAATACGACACGACTGGAGTGTACCGAGGAACAATAAGGTAGAGTTGGATCCTAATATGATATCAGGATATGAGGCAAAAAACTACTGACCAAACTTGTGTTACCTTTAGATAGAGTTAACAATAAACACAATCCTACAAGGAAAACGAATAAAGAAACTCTGCAAAGG